TCAATCATTCTCTTATATAGACATCACTAGTATGAACTTACTTTTTCATCAGTTTCTATCATAGTTTGTTTTGCAATTGTTAAAATAAGATCAAAAAGTCCATTAATGTGTGACCAGTTAATAACATTTGTTGAATCTTCAGATGAATTTCTATTAGAAAGTATTTCATAAAAATAAATTCCAATTCTTATTTTTACTAACATACTGATGTCTTAAAATAAATTTTGTAACGTAAATTATCAATGCATCAAATAATGTAATAAGTTGAATTAAAATTTGGCTAATAACCATAGTTGGCATTTGTTGAATACACATTCGACAAAGTGGAATAATAATCGTTGGTATTAAAGAACTATTTTACACAATCAAATATCAATTTTTTTTTTTAAATTAATTTTTTTTTTACCCCAATTCATTTGCCATATGTCCTTGTAAAATAAATACACGCCAAAGAGATGATAATTCACCGAGAGTTTTATTATCTTGTAATGATGAAGAAAAACTAAAACAATATTGATCGATAGAATTTTGATCCAGTTGAATTTACTTTTCTAATGTAAATTCAATCAAAACAAAAAAAAATCATTTTCTCACTTACTTGACTGCAGCTACTAAATGATTTCTTAAACGTTGATCAAGTCCATATCGATTGATAAGATTAAATGATAAAGTACTTCCATGACTTGCTAAAATTCGACAAAATTTTAAAGCTTCTGGTAGTAAATGTTCATACACATGTCCTTCTTCTATATGAAAAACAAAGTAGAATATAATAATTAGTATTATTATTTGTTTAACTTTACCATTAGGTGTAATTATTTCCGGAATAAATTCTCGTATAATAAAATCCATTAATTGTTTTTCTTCAAAAATCTATCAAAAAATAATAATAATAATAAATTTTAGAATTAATTAAAATGTAAAGCAGAGATATCCATGGCTGCACTGCCATGGCCGTGACATCAGCTGCGCAAATGATGTTTTGAAAATACAATCGCAGCAGCTCTTGTTTTTTAGATAGTTTGTAAAATTACATAAATTTGCACCTGACTCGAGTGTCTACAAGACCAGCAATCAGAATCTGATGGACTCAATCTAACTGTACTAATTTAACACAGTGACGTAAGAGATTTTTGAAGAATTTCTCGAAAATCATCGCGGCAGTGATAGATTTTCAGCCGTGATGAACATCTATGATCTAAAGTAATAATTTACTTGATTTGCACATGTCATTGAATGTCGTGCCATACGAATAAGAATATGAAATGAATGTTTAACTGGAATTATAATTGTTAATGATGGTAATAATTTCATTCGATCAAGTAAATAGACAAGTCTTTTTAATACATTCATACGAAATAAACATTTTATTAAATCTTGTTCTAATATTTCAATATCTGTTAAATCTGATTCACTTTTCTTGTCACCTAATTGTATATCTGCTGGTGTTAATGTTGGTTCATAATATCCACATGGCCAATGCATTGTTTGAGAAAGAATTTCCTAGGAAAATAAATTCCAATAAATAAAATTTCTCTATTTATTTATTTGTTTGTATATCTACTTCATCTTTTTTTGGTGCAATTAAATTTGCTAAACATTCAATAGCTATCATATATACCGCTTCAATTTGTTCATCCATAGCCCAACGTATAAGAAAAAGAATACCAGCTTCAATTAATTTAGGTATTAATGGTAATTGAAGATCGCGATCATAGATACCAGTATGAGCCTATTTTAGAATTAGAGTTTTCTCTGTTTTTATTTTTGATTCATTGCATGAGAGGAAAAGAAAAACATACTTGACGAATTATATTTGATAATGTTTGAAGAGCAATAACACGTTGTTGAAGAACAGTTGAACGAGAAAGATGAAATAATTCTTCTAATGTATAACCAGCTGCTTCTGGTTCTTCACCATGATGATGAAGAGCAGCTGTGACAGGTATATCAGCCGTACGTGACATTAAATTACCTTTAAAATCAAAACGAGCTGGAACACCTTCCGGATGCTAGAACAAACATTAAAAAAACACAATAGCTTCTTCCCAAATCCTCAAAATCATTTTGGTTCTCTGAAAAACTGTTTTAATGACCAATTATGTAAATCAATAAAACACAATAGAAGATCCGAAGTCTTTTATTACGGGGAGGGATTTACAAAAATGATTTTGTTTTCTTACGGAATCATCGGCTGTTCGCTGAGCTGATGGCTTTGGTAAATCTTTCATCCATTCTAATTTTTCATATTCAATATTATTCATATGAACCCATCGAGAATCAACTTCAATTGGAAGATTTGTTGATGTTGTTTGATTATCTATATCCATTCGTTGTACAGTAGATTTTTCATTCATTCGAATAATATCTTCTCCTTCTTTTTTATTTCGTTTTCGAATAAATGCAATTAATTTTGGATCTATATAAAAGATAAAAATTTCGAAGATTCTTTTTATTATAATATTAAAAAAAATCTCTTTTCTTTTCTTACTAAGTGTATTTAATAATTTTTCTTTTTCAGCTAAAATTTCTTTTTCATCAATTGATTTTAATCGATCAATATTTTCTTCATGAATACGTTGAATTTCTCGTTCACCGGTTACTTCACTAAGACCACTACCAGTTAATAAACTTGAACGTGATATTTGTTGATTGTTTGACGATTGTTTTGTTTCTTCTAATTCTTTACATGTTTTCAATTTTCCATCACGATACATTTGTTTAGCAAATAAGGAAGCTTTTTTAACATTTGGTAAAACAATTTTCTAATAAACATTAAAAAAAAAAGTTTTAATGAATAGAAATTAATACTGAGGGAAAATTTTTTTTTTTACATCAAGATCATCTTCACTACCACGATGTTTTGCTTGTGGAAATGGATCATTAACAGGTTTTGGTATTTGAATAGGAACTGCACTAACATCTCGTTCCTAAAAACTTCATTGATATAATAAATTTTTAAATTTTTATAATTTTTCAAAAGGAATTTTTTTCTTACGATAATAATAGATCGCATAGCTGTTGTTTGAGTAAGATCAATATTTGAAAATTTCTTTCTTTTATCTTCATTTTCATTTGATTGTTGACGTTTTGTATTTGGTTCTCGTATGACTTGTGCGGATGGTTGAATATTTGAACGATGAAATAATTCTTGATAATTTAACATTTCATCTTCGGCATCATCACTAATGCCAAATTTAGGTTTTGGACGAACTTGTAGATCGTTATTCATTTTGTTAAGTGATCAAAAATATGAAATGAATATGAAAATAGTATTGCACATAAGAAATGACATTCACCATTGGCAAAAATGAACCAATCAAAAATTAGGTATGACTCATTTATATTCCTCTGCAGTTGGTTGTTCGTTCGTTGAATCTATGTATCAAAAGAGACTTATTGGCATTAGAAATCTTTAGTCTATTAGATTTTTCAATGATCTGACGACAATTATTGATGCCATTATATTCTATTAAAAAATTAATCTTGATAAAATATGATTATTTGATACGAGGCCAAAGACAATCGTTGTCAAGTGTAATCATTTTGCATAGTGTCATGAAAAAATTTGACTATACTATACTATTCAAATTATATATCATGAATTTTAAGAGAGAAAATTTTTTCAGAAACTTGTACACGGAAGTTTTCATATGAGGAGCTGAATTGGAGACTCTATGAAGAACTTCTAGCTTAAGCTCCTTCGCTTTTCGGATGTTAAAATCGAAATTTTTTCAATTTTTGGCTTTTCATTGCTAATATAGCTTCGAAGTCTCCTCTATCAAATGCCATATATATGAGGGCTCTTCGTTGTTAGTTGGTACTTTTATTAAACCCAAATTTCGAAGTCCCTAGCAGAGAAACTCACACTGAGATTATTCTTTGTATACAAAATTGTCCTAATGATAATGATTATTTCTCATTCTAAAGATGTTGAGAACATTGATCATGGATCTCTAACACCACTGAACGTGACTAGTTTTCGATCACCTTGATTAGAGGAAAAGAAGTCGTGATACATACAAGAAAATATGTTTTTCGTTTTTCTCGAAATCAATTTTTACATAAAAAAAAAGTGCTGAATCGTCTCTGTCTCTCCGACATAGTACGTTCGATCGGGCTGATAATTTTCTTTACACTGAGACTGGACACTGTTTGGGACGTCTACTTGATTTTTGACAGAGTTTACGAAAGAAAGCTTTAGTAAAAAAAACCATGTATTGATGGAAGTAAATTCAATGTTTCGATCTTTGTATGCGAATGGAAGAAGAAATGAGAAAAATCAAAAAGAAAGTGTGCAACCGAAACAGTGTCTAGTACCTGTAAAAAAAACTCCAGCTCTATCGGACGCGTTGCAGTTGAGAAAGTGGAACAAATTTTAACCTTTGCGACACAGATATTTTCTAGAAGAAAGTATTTAGGAATGTGGAGCCTATGACAGCTTTTGTTCTACTTATCGAGATCTATCGGTCCTGAAAGATTCAAATATTTCTGATGAGTCATTCCTTAGAAATCTTGGAAAGAAGGGCGACACCCTTAAATGACTCGTTGCTGGCAGAGACTTCGACACGATGAATGACACTTTGTAAAACAAGCCAAGAAATGCTGAAAATGAGAATTGAATAATAATGAAAGAAAAAATTTACAGTCCTTTGGTCTAAAATTTAGATTGAAATTTTGCATTTTTTCAGTTTCGGTCTTTTTTATTCTTTTTATTTTTTATATGTAATAGAAGGTATTTATTATATATAATACCTATGGCACTATAGAGGTAGTGACACTCTATAACCAACACTATATTAAATAGCGATATCTATTGAGAATTGAAATAATGACTCATATTATCCATAAGTAAGACTTTATCATATCTTGATTTTTTTATATATCTACACTGTGTTTCTTATATCTTGTATTGATTGAATATTTACCTAAACACAGTAGCTATCATTTGCCAATAGCATTTTGCTTAATTGTTTATAATTACTTTCTTATGATCGAAAATGGACATTGATCCTGACAATGCTGATTCTTATGGCAGTGATTGTGGTCACGGTGGTATTCGTTCAGGAGCTGGTCGTAAGAGGAAAATACGATCATCATCAATTGATATAATGACAGATGCAAGAAGAAAACATGCTGCACGTCGACAAGAAACAGATGAATTGAGAAAATGGATAAATGAATTAAAATGGTCGCATCAAGGTGTTCCATCGACTCGTCGTGATAATGCTACAGCATTGTTGTTTATATTTAATCTATTATTAGAAGATGATAATTTAACACAAACAGAAGCAATTGATACAGCTGGTCGATATTTAGGTCGTAGTGCTGCTGGTTTATGTGCATTGGTAGCACATTGGAATAAATATCAAGAGATATACGTTGAATCAGGTACAAGAGGCAGACCATTTGGTCAACAATCATCAGAATTATTTGTATCTTTACCTCATTTTGTTATGACAAGTATTATGGATCGTCATGCAGAAGGTAAAGCTACTACGGTTAAAGATATACAACAAGCAATTGTTGATACATATCAAGAATACATAGGCTATTGGCCGATATATTATCTTATGCATGATAAAATGAAATTATCATATGGCTTATTAAAAGACTCGGCCAAGTTAACAGAAGATGCTGATCGAATCAAACGTATTCGACAATTTCTGGTCAAATATGCTACTGCTTCTTTATTCTTTTGTAAATTCAGAGCAGTGGCATATTTGACCAGAAATTGTCGAATACGTTTGATTCGATCAGCATCTTCTGTTAACTTGGCCGAGTCTTTTAATAAGCCATATGATAATTTCATTTTATCATGCATAAGATAATATATCGGCCAATAGCCTATGTATTCTTGATATGTATCAACAATTGCTTGTTGTATATCTTTAACCGTAGTAGCTTTACCTTCTGCATGACGATCCATAATACTTGTCATAACAAAATGAGGTAAAGATACAAATAATTCTGATGATTGTTGACCAAATGGTCTGCCTCTTGTACCTGATTCAACGTATATCTCTTGATATTTATTCCAATGTGCTACCAATGCACATAAACCAGCAGCACTACGACCTAAATATCGACCAGCTGTATCAATTGCTTCTGTTTGTGTTAAATTATCATCTTCTAATAATAGATTAAATATAAACAACAATGCTGTAGCATTATCACGACGAGTCGATGGAACACCTTGATGCGACCATTTTAATTCATTTATCCATTTTCTCAATTCATCTGTTTCTTGTCGACGTGCAGCATGTTTTCTTCTTGCATCTGTCATTATATCAATTGATGATGATCGTATTTTCCTCTTACGACCAGCTCCTGAACGAATACCACCGTGACCACAATCACTGCCATAAGAATCAGCATTGTCAGGATCAATGTCCATTTTCGATCATAAGAAAGTAATTATAAACAATTAAGCAAAATGCTATTGGCAAATGATAGCTACTGTGTTTAGGTAAATATTCAATCAATACAAGATATAAGAAACACAGTGTAGATATATAAAAAAATCAAGATATGATAAAGTCTTACTTATGGATAATATGAGTCATTATTTCAATTCTCAATAGATATCGCTATTTAATATAGTGTTGGTTATAGAGTGTCACTACCTCTATAGTGCCATAGGTATTATATATAATAAATACCTTCTATTACATATAAAAAATAAAAAGAATAAAAAAGACCGAAACTGAAAAAATGCAAAATTTCAATCTAAATTTTAGACCAAAGGACTGTAGTAATAATCGCTATTTAAAGAAATTAATAGAAAATGTAGTACATGTTGATATTAAAATAAATTAGTAGAAGCTAAATCAATTTGAACTATTCTAGTTTTACAGTGAGCCTTGTGCATCGTAGAGCAAGAACATGTTTTTCAATTTCTACTAGTAGTCACCTGAGTTTATGTAGGTTTTCACATTTTATCATGGTTAAATCTATTGATCTCGATGCGAGAAAAGGGCTAAAGCTACCTAGACTCACCATCCTCATGTTTTACGTCGCGTCTGTGGAAATTTCGACCTGTTATCAGAAAACTCTGTGTCGAATTTTTCAAGGTAGTTTTTCTAAGTTCCTTTCTCTCAGATAGACTACCTTCAACTGTCTGTCAAATTTTTAGCTCTTTTCACTTCTAAAAACTATCGAGAGCTCTGCTTTGACCTTTCTTTACTATTGCATTATCGTTTAATACTAATGATACATCCATTCTATTGATGAAAAGGTTTCATAAATATTTCATTGAAATAGAAATTGCATTTTATCAACTGAATAAAACAGTAAATTTAACTAATGAGTGATAATTCTATTCAAAAAACGAGTTCGAAATTTAGAAGACAAAGTCTGATTGAATATCTTTTTTCCTTATGTGTTCATTAACGAGAGAAAAAGGAAAAAATTAACTCATCGAATTTATTGAATAAAATTCATAGAAATATCATTAAAAATGCCGAGCTTTCTTCCAAGGGAAAAATTCTTGGTATGACATCAAACAGTTGATGTTATCAAGGTATTCCGAAGAATATCACTTTTTCAATGTTCAATATTTATTACAATCATCGCTTATCATTTTCGATCAGCTCGTCGTTCATTTCTCAGTCACCATTTGTCGATGCAAAAAAATCTCATCAGTGAAAGAAAGCCTGTATCATTAGATTAGTCTTTCACTTTTCGTCTGTCAAATTTTTCCTAAAAATCCACTATATACTTCTCGCTTTGGTGACTAGTTATTGGAAAATAAAAAATATTTTATGTAACAACATTCATGATCGACAGGCCAAGTAGAGAATCACTTTTCATAAATATCAAAAGTTGATATTTTCTTACCAACAAATGAAGATCAAGATGATTTATTTTATCTTCAAATTGTTGCTGTTCTATAGGTAGAAAATCAATTTCAAATTGATTTAGATACAGAAAATACAACAATATCTATTAATGAAACAACTGGTAGTTTTGGTTGTGGAAACGTCGCTTCAATGCGCTGATAAAATGAAACTATAACAAATTGGTTTTAATGGAATTATTTATTTTTAAAATTTATCCAAGAGGTTTTATATCCTTTGTGATTTATCAACATTATCCTTGAACAAATTTACAAAAAATTGAACAAGTCAATGTCAACAGTGTTGATTTTTTTAAAATATACACATGATATACATATCTCATTGTCAAGTTAATGATCAAGTTTATTAAGATATTTTAACAGAAATACAACGAAAACGTGCTTTTATTATTTTAATTGTTCATCTTCTTGATATAACTAATTCAATTAGTTAATTATAACTACATCGTGTTGATCAAACAACAAATAATTATCATAGTGTTAATCTTATGTTATATTTGGTCTTGGCAATAAAGTTGATGTATTATCAAAATGCAGATTTGTTTAAAATTAGAAATAGTTTGTTGTCATACAAATGAGATCCAGAGATCTTTTTGCATATATGCAAAAAAAAAACTAAGCAACAAAATAATGTAAATATCGAGGGATCCGAAAACTACTTTATGAAAAACAATTAAATATCGTCGCTATGGTTTGACGAAATCTATCATTGATTTCAGTGTCATGTCTCCGAAATTTCTTGTTATTTACAACATCATTTTGTAAATATCAAGGAATTAACTGAGGAAGCAGTAATTGTATTTTTTTCAAAACTTGTCAGCGATTATACAGACAATGCATTTAAGCTAATATTCATTTGAAAAAGAGAAGTCGTGAGTATTTTTTGAATACCTTTTAATAGAAACTTGCGGTGTTCACCATTGAAAAAAGGAGATAAAGACGCATCAAAGCACGTATTGCTGTTTTTTCTAATATGCTTTATAAAGAATTTTTAATCACTTATTACAAAAAACGTGCAGAAAAGTCGGACAAAAACTAAGAAAAAAAAAGGTAATTTTTTCACACGATTTCTGGATAAAATAGGGTTAGAATTTTGGGTAGAATATCCATAACTCTCGAAGGATTAAGACTGAACATCTGCCACTTGTGTAGCATTTAGATCTTTGATTGACGGTTTTAATGCACTCCTAAAAGTCAAAAATTCATCCTGATGATCGGACGCGATACAATGGTTTATAAAAAGCTCAATTGGAAATCCTCAAAGAACTTATCAAAATAATCTGTAATATATGATTCGATGTATCATAAGTTTCTCTTTTCAATGGTGAAAATTGTAGGTCTCCATCGTATTTTTATCAACAATTATTCAAAAAACACTCACGCCTTCTCTTTTTTTTTTAAATGAATATTAATAATTATTTTATTTTAGACAATGAATCTTATTTGTCTCTTGTATGTAAATGTCTCAAAAACGAATGTACAAAACGTGATTTACGAAAACAGATAGTCAAATATTATGGTTTAATCAGTATTTGAACTGGACATGAACTTGAAGAACTTATTTTCAAAATATTTCATTATTGGTCAAAGCACGACTTGTCTTGACTATTTTTCTTTATTTATCTTTTTCATTTTATGTACACGTGGTTGTTAGGAATGACATTTATCGTTCCAACATTCTGTGTTATTTTTTCGGTCTACTTGGTGATTTTTCATTCGTTATCGATACTCAGATTTATATATAGATTATAGGCAATACTGAAATTCTTGTTTTCATGTAACAAAATTAAAATTCAACTAGAGACAAATTCATACAATCAAAATAGTTGAAATCGGAGTAGAATAACTATTTTTTAGTCAACAATATGAAACTCAATGAATTTTAGTCTATTCACTGATATTGGTACAATTACCTCGTTTTGAATGGTATCTTGTCGAATGAAAAATTCGCAATTGTTTGGATGTGGGTAAAGAGAAGATCATCAACTTCCACACTCTCAATACATCATCAAAAGCATTTTATTTTATAAGACTTTTTTTCTCGAAATGTTTCAATTAAGGAATTCATAATATGTTACTCTAATTACTGATAATACAACGATTCACTACTATCTAATTTGACAGTTGGTGAATCAGATTCAGACTATTTTTGTATTAGATTGTAACGCGTACATTCATATTTCTACTGCTTATCAACACGTCTACTATGGTTGTAATTTTTCTCTCATTTTTTTTCTACTCCACTCTGCTTTTAGTAAAGCACGTGATTGTGTGAATTTATTTCTTGTTGAATTCTAATTTTGTCCGGTGAATTCATCGATGAAAGGTTATGTATTCTACATTTTACAATCGTCCATTTGTTTGATTAAAATAGATGTTATATATTTATTTTCTGTCAGATACCATCAGGATAATAAAAAAAACACCTTTCACGAGAATTCTGTTTCTCTTATCTTGTGAACAATATGAGAGATTCAATAATAAATATGTATAATGAGAGAATTTATTTCTATAATTATTAAGTAAAAAGATTCACGCGCTGTACAATATTGAAAATAGTCCATTTGGAAATCGGGATCGAATACTAGTCGTACGTTTAATTTTTCAAAATATTTAAAAATTAACAATAAGCGCGATGATCTGTAAGGGAAGTATTCTTATTATTGCTAATGTATACATTCAGTAAATACCAATAGATAAAGGCAGGCTTATAGCTCAATCAATTTTATGTGTATACATAAAAATTCATTTCTGTTTCATCAAAATATTTTTCAAAATTTGATATTTTTTTCTTCGTGTTTTTAGATGGCATTATCTGATAACAAATTGTATGTAAATGGTTATGATGAATTGAAAAATACATTGAAGAAATTAGGAAAAGATAAACGTATTTTTGTACTCTTTTATGGTTCAAAAGATAATCAAGGACATAGCTGGTAGATGAAGAAATATAATATTTGTTGAATTTGATTTTGCTTTATTTCATATAGGTGTCCGTATTGTGTTGAAGTAGAAAAACCAGTAGAACAAACTGTTGAATATTTGTTACCGTCTAATGGAATTTTTATTGGATGTTCAGTAGGTGATCGAGCAAGGTAAAAAAAATCAGTAAAATAAAAAAAATAAAATTATTCTGAAGTCTCTTTTTGTTTAGTTGGAAAGATTCAAATTGTTCTTTCCGAAAAGATCCTCAACTTCGATTGACAAATATTCCAACTTTAGTTGAATGGGGAACGGTAGGACATAAATAACTATATGAATAAGTCTTTACTCTTTTTGTTTAGAGTAAACGTTTGACCGAGAATCAGTTGCTCGATCCTGACATGATTAAAATTCTCTTTGAAGAAGATTAATTGAAAATATTTTTCTAATATCATAATGATTTATAGCTATAGACAACTGCATTCTTCTAAATAATTATGATTAGTGTTTTTTTTTTCTTTAGGAAAAAAATGTTACCATTAGACAAAATAAACTTAAATATTAGGCAGATTAATCTAGAATTGTCTTTCATTCCTATTGTCGTCAGTATAATAAGTGAATTCCAATAAGGTTGCTATGTTGAAAAATGAAAGGATAAATATCGATTCAAATAAAATAATGAAAAATGCAAGAATATATACTCATGAAGTGTCCTACTTAACTGATGGAAAAGATGTATTAGTGATTGAACACAATTTGATACAATTTTTTGTCATTTAGCTTATTATCAGTCACTCATCAAACTTCTAATCGAAAACTATATCATATAGAACCAAACAGTCTCGACTATTAAGATTAAGAGGAAGAAAAAAGATAAAAGCACAAAATAAACTTGCTATTCTGGCGTATTATCTTCAGGATTATCATATTGTAATAGTAAACTGTTGGGAAATAAACGATTAGTTCTTGATAAAGGAACACCATTTTTCTCTTACACTCTGACAGTGAATATCTGACTTCCAGCTAAAGTTCGACTGACTTTAATTGTTCGTGAATCCATTGATTAAATAGTAATGTGAATGTGGAGTGTATATTCATCTGATCAATGATATTGTACTTATTTCCACCCATCAACCACAGCTGGGCAAGTACGGACTTTTTCGAGTACGAGTACTGAATCCTCGAGTATGAGTACGAGCACGAGTACCGAACCCTCGAGTACCAGTACGAGTACGAGTACATGATAGTCTGTTTCCCAAGATCTCGATACAGAAAATTTAATTTAGTAGTGTTAGAGATGATCTATTAATTTTTAGATCGAGAAGTCGTTTAAGGCATGAATCAAAATGTTTTAAATCAATATTTTTTATTATCAAGTTTCAAAAAGTCAAATTAAAACAAAACTTTATTACAGTTAAGAGAAGTAAGCAAGCATACACTTTTTGAAGTTAAAGATGCACGATGGGGACGCATTATAAAACCACTTTGAGAAAATACTCTTTCAATAGGAGCTGATGTCGCCGGCACTGACAAGTATTTCAGACCAAGTTCATATAAAGAAGGATAAAGATTTTTCTTGACGAAAAGCAAATTACTTTCACCACTTTTTTCCGATAGAAAAGTATTAAGCTCTACCAAAATTTTTTGTTTCTCATCAAAAGAAGTCTTTTTTATATCATTCAAATAAAGAAAAAGGCATTTTCGTTTTGGTATTGTATCAAAATGTTTTGTCAGCTTATCGCTAGCATCTTGTTCAGGTGCGTTCGGCTCATCAGCTCCCTCTTCCTGTAACACAGAAAACATCAATTTTGAGAAAAAACTAACAAAAGAAGTATGGTTTTTTTCTATAACACACACAACTTTACCACAACTTAAAGATTATCAAGTCATAACAATTTAAAACGTGCATCAAGAAGAGGTGCAATCAGAAAAATAGTATTAGAAAAAACGCTCAGATATACAATAAAAAGCAAATGACACATCATGATGTGGCGTCTATGTATTTATCTAAATATATGTATATGTATGTGTAAAAGAAAATGAAGAAATCACCTGTTCATTACATCATCAAAAAAATATACTAAAATTTTATGTAACATTATTTTGATATCATGCATACTTAAAATCTTGAGTACTCCGCCCTCGAGTACGAGTGCGACTATGAGTACTTACCCTTCAAGTACAAGTAAGAATACGAATACGAGTACCTACCCTTCGATTACGAGTACGAGTACGAGTACTTCGAGTATTTTGCCCAGCTCTGCCATCAACAATCGCACCTACTCACAGCTACAGCCACGGCCACACCTCAATCCGAATTATTTTGTAAAGCACGACAAGCTATCCAATCATCAAAATGAATTGTTGTACCTAACAAAAAGGAATGTATATTACACGATAAATCATAAATCGCAAACACTACTTGGATGAACATGCACTTGAATAATTGGCACTGATATTCTGACATTTCATTTGTTAACAACAAATGAGGAACACTTTTCGTATTAATATGAATACCACCGGAGACCAACTAGGTCTTAAGAAGATGGACACGATCATATTTCATTTTCTCCAAGGCACTTTAATAAATTTCGGCCATGTGTGTAGGACCTAAAGGAATTATTATATATTTTATCATGAAAATGATTTGAGAGATACCTCCTATTTTTTGTGGATTATTGATAAAATATTTTGTGCATATATTGCGACAAAATTTTCTCCTATCAATGATTGCGTGACTTGAAAATAGGCTTTGATTCATATGATAACTTTTTAAGAGAATCCTCCTCTCTCGACCAACAATGCATTAGTTCAAATATTTGTGCTAATGTTTATTTTGAATTACTATAAAATGCTTCATTTATAATTGGTTTTATGCTGTTATATGTGCGACAACGAAAAAATGTAACCTACGGAGATAGAATAATGACTTCATTGGCATTTGTTTAAAAAACATACCTTAATCTCCTCTAATTTGTGAATAAGCACGATATAAATTTTTATAATTTTTTTTACAGCACTCTTTATTATTTGACTCTTTTATAAAACTTTTAAATATTGCAGAAATTGTATTGTATTATATTGTGTTGTTAATTCGTGAAACATTCTAAGGTTCATTGTATTCAGATCATTCCATGCCGATAAAAATATTCATATTAATCATATTGATTTAAATTTGAATTGAATTTTTATTGAAGAAAATATTTGTGATGAGTGCATACTGACAACCTTATGTTATATAACTGCTCTCCAATTCAAAAGAAATTATCATGTTATTATTAGAAATGTCTTTTTATAAATCGATAGTAGATATTTCCTCTGTTTTCCTCATTATCTCTCTATACTAGATAGTTCTTTTCAGGTGTGGGGTCTCCATTTCAATTAACAGCTCCATATCCGTGTTCTTTTCATTCTTGCAGAGCATCTTTTTCGAATAGTCCCTCATTAATTCAATAGTAGTGTGCTTCTGAGTCAATAGTTTTTTTGTCTATTCTTTCTTAATATATACAAACAGTGATGGTGTGCTTACTCTGCACAAGTACCGAAATATATTTCAGCGAAGAGTAAATTTATCGGAATATATTAGAAACGTAAAACTATGGGCCTATTCAAATGACTAAGGAGTAAAGCCAACGACGTTTAACTGCGACAGATGTTGCTGTTTGACATATATCATTAAACAATATGGTTTCAATATTTTTTTATTTTATTTGGGAAAATTAGGCAAACTTCAATAGTGGAAAATGGTGAGCTGATATTTTGGCTAGACGATGTCTGATATGTCTATATCTATTTTGGAATTATTGGAAATTTTAAGTGGATGCAGTTATATTTGTATTAGTTGATTTTGATCTGACTGATTAAAATTCACGTGATTAGATGAGCCGATGATTGAACGCAGCTTATGAAATAGAAAAATAAACATTTCTCTCTTTGTTGCTGTTCAATGTATATTATAATTCTGTTTTGACTTTTCGGTAATGTGATTATTGTTTAAGATGTCATAACAATACTGATGCATACACTAATAACACAAATAATACACCTATGTATGGCATGATTTACAATTTGAACAGTATATTCATGAAATACTTTCTATTCTGCTTTTAAAACTATTCCGTGGTATGTATTCGTTTTTATAAGAATGATTTTATGTCATTATAAATCGAATCAAACATATTATCTACATTCTTTTTCTGTTTTTCATATAGAACATACGTGGGAAGTTGAAAAGTTGTCTGAGTCAAATTCAATTCGATTGCGAAAAATGTAGGTGTGGATGGAGTGTGCACGTGCGTGGATTGGTGTGTTTCCTTCGTCCATACCTTCAACGTTTGTTTTGTAATGTAATCTTAATAAGGATGCTATAATTTTTCATATGACGCAAATCGTGGTATGGTTGGAATGAAAGGCGTATCATTTTCAGTACCCGATCAACAGAAATCAAATCTTTGGATTATTGAAAACACGAATGATGGACAAATTTATACAATAGATCTCGATTCAGAACGATGTTACAAATCAACAATGCCAATTAAGCCATTGCGTTGTATACCAGGTACATAAATATCTCCGTTGCTAATTAATGATTTTGTTTTTACTTTAATGTCTATGACACTATTCACTGTTGGTTATTCTATAGATTCAGCAACTTATTTACATTCATTTTCATATGGATGTGGTAATAAACAAATTCCTGCTGATACATGGCTTGTAAAAATAGATAATGTCCTTAACTCTGCAACTGTTAGTCATGATGGTCTTTGTGTTCCGTTGACTGGACATAGTTTCCTTGCACAACCTCGTAAGAAATTATTTCATGTAAACATCAAAGGACTGTTGTGAAAAAGCTATGATGAAATTTTCAGCCCGATATCATGACGTTTGAGGAAGATATCGACCAAACAAGGGTCAACTATAGCAAATTTGGCAACCCAAATTTCTCAGTCCAGGTCAGTGTGATGTATTTAAATTTTTTTTGCTTGAAAGAGCATGTCAGAATGCAAGGCACTACAGAGTCTTTTTTTAAAATTCTTACTTTTTAAGCGAAAAAAAGGAACCACAAGTTCAATAACTCAAAAAACTCGTGAATAATGGCACTGTTTCTATAGAGGTGTTTTCTTATATTATTATAAAAAAGCTTATTTTAAAAAAAAGACTCTGTGGTGCCCTGCGTCTTGACGTGCTCTTTCCAACAAAAAACAAATTTAAACACATCACATGGATCTGAACTGAAAAATTTGGGTTGCGCATTCGACAAATCACAAATTGAGAAAAAAACGAAAAAATTTTCAGTTCTTTTCAAAAATGGCTTATTTTTCGAATAGAAAATGATGAAAATCTTCAAAAACTTTTAGAAAAAATGAGATGCTGAGTAAAAGCTTTTACCGTTTATGAGAGATCAGAATACGGGCTATCTTCCTATGCATTTATCTTCATTTCTATGATTCTGATGAAAAGTGACTTTTTTTTAGGAGAGAGGCCTTAATAGCTAATGGAGTTTCCTATAAGATGCATTATATATCAATATTTCATAGATGTAATATAATCGGAAGGTTTCTAAAAAACCGAACACGGTAGTTTTTAGATCCTAAAAGACTTTGTCGGAGCTATTTTTTTAACAATCCTATCTTAAAGAACACAAAATTCTGAACAAGATGCGGGATCACCGTATTTTCTATTATCTTTCCTTAAAAAATTATAAGCAGCACAAAAACCGAGAAAAAGCGAAATTTTTCAAAAAAATGCTGAAACTCGACTTTTCCCTGGTTTTTGTGCTGCTTATAATTTTTTAAGAAAAGATCTTAGAAAATGCGGTGATCTCTCATCGTGTTCAGAATTTTGTGTTCTTTAAGATACTACTGTTAAAAAATAGCTCCGACAAAGTCTTTTAGGAACTGAAAACTACCGTGTTCGGTTTTTTAGAAACCTTCCTATCATAGGACATCTGTGAAATATTGTTATATAATGCATTTTATAGGAAACTCCATTGGCTATTAAAACTACTATTTACATTAGAGCTAGGTACATAGCATTATTGAAAAAAATCACAAATACCTTTGTGTTTAAACTTTTGTCCTTGATTTTATGTATCTACTGTAAAAATGTCAGTGAAATTGGTGAGATCGATTCAGCAAGTTTCTACTGGAACTAGTCGTGACTCACATGCGGTGCCTCATAACGTGGACAATCATATTCTACAAACTTGCGTTACTTGAAGAATAACTTGTATGAATTCTGAATGATTAAAATGACGTTATCGCCCTGTAAAAATGATTTTCCAACAGACCATTAGATAAACATCTCGATGAGGCGATTTAAGGTTGCCGCGGACATCGAAATTTCAAACGACTCCTTAGGTTTTCATTCTCCGATAGATCGAACGCTCGACGATAGGTCAGTAAAACGTGCAGTTTTCAGCCACCCGAGCGATTTTGACCGAGGGGATCAAAATTTGATCAAAATAAAAAGGATTTTTTCCTATAGATGCCTCATTCTCGAGTAGTCGAAACCTATTGAATAAACGTGGAGAAGATTCGAACACGGGCACTTACGATTAACATTCATCGAACATCTAAACTAAACATGAACTATTTTTGTTTTATGAAAGTTATCTTTTCCATTCGTAGAAGGATAGTACTTTCAAGATTACTATTTTAACATTTGCTAACAGTCTTTGAAAATCAAAAAAAAACTTTTTAATCGAATAAAAACACTTTTCGCGAATGTCTAGCTACAGAAAAAGCTTTTTTGGAGCCTCTGATGCCACATAAGAAGCTTATTTGATAAATATGGCATTTGATAAATAACTGATTTGTGTAATAGAGCATAAAATCAATAGTAAAAAACTTTTTCAAAAATTCAAAACGTAAAATTCGTTATAGCTGTGTTTTTCGCCAAAAACACTTATAAATTCCGGTCTTACTTATTATTTTTCATCAGTCAATGTTAAATACTTTTTAGAAAATTATGAAATTAAGGAAAATATATGTCGAACCAAAATCATCCTACTAACGTAGCCGAATGAAAGAGACATTTGTAAATCGTTTTTTGAAGAAGTTTCCCGAAATCAAAATTAATCTCACCACTCGAAACTGTTAGTCTGCTAGGCATGCTTCTACTGGAGCACTTAATAATTTGCTTCCGATATGTTTCTTTTCGCGAGTACTCGAAACTTCGATGAGTATCGAGAAATCTAAAAGGACTTGAGGGGTCGAAAATGAATGTCCGATTACATACAGCTTTCGCGTGATCACCATCCGATGGCTGCCAAGAGCCTCGAAAGCGGAACAGAACGAACAAAAAGTATATATTTCAAATTTTCGAGCGCTCGTCGTACTCATTGTATGCTTTTTGAAGTCTATTTGGGTAGAACAAGTCTGGCTGAGATAACTATTCTACAATTAGGATTCTGAATCTGCTATAATATTGAAAACAGTATAAACTATATGACCATCTGAAGAGTGCGACATTAATAATCTTGCCTGATCATCTTCTACAAGTGTCTCTAGAATTTGAAAAAGACAATTTTCTCAATAAGACGCTTGTAGATTAATCTTTTTTTCCAAAAATATCGTCGATCAAATTTGAAACCAGAATAAAAAAGCAAATAGTCCGTTTTACATAGATGTGTTTAAAAATCTTTGATGAGTTTGTCGACACTATAATTAATGACACACTTTTATCTTACATATTTGTGTCACTCTTTGTAATCTCTAGCATTTTTTCATCATGGTAGGGATAGTACAACAGCAGTTGGATTTCGAGTGGGGTTGCCAACCATTGCTACTGCTGCATTTGTCTATGATTATATTTTCTGGGTTGACGCCATAGCAGTCAAAAATACCAAGCTTACTCTTTTCTCGGGTAATGATTTGGACACTCGAGATTTGATTACTATCGTCAGATTCATCTCTGAAAACAATATGAGAAAAAAAGCTCGAATAGTTTCTCATGAGATGCAAAGAACAGATAGACGTGACACTGCTTTCAATACTTTTCATGAAATTACTATTGGATGAAATCTAATCATTTGGAAATGACATATGCCTTTTCCTTCCGCATTCGTTACAGTGGAATTTCACAGATTCTTGGCCTGTTAAAACAGATTAAGACAAATGAACATATCGTTTCTCTGTCTTCTCATCGGAATTGACATCAAAGCGACATCGCGTGAAACATGAACGTCAGTTGTAGTGACAAGAGAATATCATTCCATAACGTTAATCACAAAACCCATTTTTCGACAGAACTCTTTACAGTACGCCTAGATTTTTTTTTTTAATATTAAAACAAAAGAAGTGAAGCTCATAGTTATACTGAAGTTCTGACTTTTAGTTTTACTGTTCAATTCTGATTGCATTCGATAGACATGGTATCATTAGAACAAGTAACGCACAATTTTACTATCTATGGTTTCTTTACAATACTGATTATTGGAACAATAGGCAGTATATTTAATCTTATCACATTTTTATGTAGAACTTTTCGAACAAACTGCTGTACATTTTATCTTATTTGCTCTTCTTCGCTTGAACTGATTTTTATCAATTATGGTATTATCATTCGTTTGGTAACGGAATATTTAGGAGATAATTTGATGATTGTCAACCGTACTATCTGCAAAGTACGTTCCTACTTTGCAGTAAGCTTACCAACGATGGCTTCAACGTGTGTTTTATTGGCAGCACTCGATAGATGTGCTTCGACATCATCAAGTGACCGATGGCGACGGCTGAACTCTTCTTCATCTGCTCGACGACTTTTTGTCGTAGCCATGTTCTTTGATCTAGTTTCAAGCAGTTTTCTTCTAATGGTATACGATCTTCGTAATAATACATGCGCACCACTGCCTGGTTTGCAATCAATCACAGTCACTGCTTATATTGCTATGTTTACTGTTCTCGTTCCTCATGGAGGCATGTTAATTTTTGGAATCATGACATGGTTTCACATCAAAAGATCACGAAATCGCATCATCGCGATTTCTGGCTCAAGTGTTCATAATCATAGTGCTCAACGTACGAATCAACAGCTGATCCTTTTAACATTCTTACATGCTTTCTTGTCGACTGTGCTTGTATTACTACGTTTTATTGCTTATTCATATAATGTGATTACAAGTTCTGTCGCAAAGAGCGTCGAGCAACAAATCCTAGAATATTTTTTTCAGCAAGTGAGCATTATACTTTACTACATAAATTATGGCATGCCATTTTATATCTACTACGCCTCGAGCACTTTGTTCCGAAAACAATTTCGAAGATCTATACAACGGCTGATGAAAAGATACTTCTTTTTTTGTAAATGTTGTTGAATTCGCTACTTGCCCATGTAAACACTAAAAGCAAACTAGATGCGTCTGAATGTGCATTATTTGTTTCATTAAAACATGTTCCGATGTGAATTGTTAAGTAAAATTTGCAAAATGCGTTCAACCACGTTTGAAAGTCTTGTTGAACACGCATGATCTCATTTCATGTACGCATTTCAGCATGTTTAGACTTTAAACAAGTTCTGACGCACTCAAAATTGAACGCATTTGTTGTCCAAACGCATCTGAAATCATAAATGAGTTTCAATGCCTATTTTGACTGCTAGAGCGTTTATGCGCTTATTAAATTTATACATAATTAAGTTTTTTGAGAAGAGCAATTGGTTCGAATCAGTAATGATTCGATTCAAAGTTCGATTCCTCGCCAGCAAGAAATGTGAATTACTTTTCTCTGGTATGTCTATTCTTATATTTTTCACTGGTTTTTTTTTTGTACAATAATTTTTCAGAACACGTCTTAGGATACATTAGAAAAGCATGAAATCAATCGGAATGGATTTTTCGATCTTTTATCAAATACTAACTAATGCTTTACCTCTTCTCACAATTATTCATTTTGATCAGTCATATTGGATAACATATCAGTTGATGGAGCTTGGTAACCGCTTTTTATTGGTTAACACTACATTTCCATCAGAAACTACGGAATACAATACAACGTCGAAAGAGTTTCTGTATTCATGTTGTTTTCGTATAAATCGTCTCTGTATATAGACTCCAAATCGAGAGCAAACAATCGATTTCAAGAGAAAAGCTTTCA